TTTGGGCATCCGCACATTTGATGCAAAGCCATAACTTTTTATGGTTTAAAAAATCCATAAGTGATTTGATGGACTGATCCAATTAGGAGATCGCCCTTGCAAACCAGCACTGCTTTGCTCACCATGTCAGTTGGAATTGTCCTAGCTGCTGAGCCCTGCATGCGCCTTGGCAGAAATGCACCTCGGTGCGCATCTGAGAGTTGAGTCTGCCTCTGTGCCACTTGCCAAGCACGCTCCACTTTGAGGCTCGTAGCAGACGCAGGGTTTGCTCTGGAAGAAGTGTGCACTTGTCAGAAGAGCAGATGCTCAGAGCAGTCCTGATGCCGCCGTTCCCACAGATGGGCCAGGGACTCTTTCCAGGAACGCATGCGTTCGTGCTTGAGCTCTGCCAGGACCTGGGTGCTGGGGCATCTTTGCCTAGTGATGTTCTGCAAACACTTTGCAAACTGGCGATTTTTTAAAAATTAGGGCACATCATGGGGGAAAATGGCTGCTATTAATAATTCCCCCGTCCAAATGTGTGCAAGGGTTTATCAGGTCTGGGTTAGATGTCGTGCGCAAGCCAAAGCCGCTGCTCCCACGAGCTCATCCAAACAATTCCTGGGGTGTTTTGAATCCGCCCGTTCATGGGATCCACACGGGCTCATGCACTCGTCAGTGAGGGTTGTAAGCCCCTGTAGCCCTTTCTACCGTTCCCAGCCGCCAAACATGGAATCTGTTGATGGGAGAATTTGAGAAAGGGATCCCGGCTATCACAGTGTTGACAAATCAGTCTTACTGAAATGCAAAACCAAATTCCAGAAATACCCGTTTGATGAAATCAGGGCTTCCTCTATCTTGACCTCCCCCTGCTTTTACAAGGCTTTGGAATTAAGTATAATTTGTTATTATTAGGCCCAATCCAGGTCTTTCCACCCTCTCATATTAATTTTCTTTCTTCTCTTCCCCTTGAGTAGGTTTTTTGAGGTCCGTTGCTGAGCCAATACGGCTCTGCCAGTTTCCTTTGATCTGTATCAAAGCCGCCCGTGCGCCACGGGGCTAAGATCTTTCTCCCGACCCTACTCGTTATCTTGCCCGGTGATTAATGACACATTGTTCTTCTTTGTTGTACAGACACCGGATACGTGCGGTCTCAAGACGGATACTGTTTCTCGATACATTTCCATTATATTTCTTCTTCTGCACTATTTCTAAGTATCATCTATAAACAGACGTCCTATTTCCTGTGTCCATCCCAGTGGCTTTTAATCTGCTGCTGCATCTTCCATTATACACTAATTCATTATTTCAGATCTGCAGTTAGGGAAGGATGCTACCCATTGAAGAGGTGGGTGGTCACTTCTGACTTGTTTTTACCATCAGTCTCTTCTCCGTAAAGAGAAGAGAACTACTCTAAGTCTGCAGCACTTATCTAAGAAATATAGGAAATAACCTTCTGAAATAGCTGGATGATTTCCATATACATTATTTAAAAACCACATACCTTGATGCTTGGAGATTAATTTAAACAGCGTTTTACTAGCCTTATTTACCTTCTTAATCCTAGAACTGCTCCTGTGTTGAGTCTCTTCAGTATCTGATCTCAACATTTGCTAATTTTAAGTGGCCAGTGCCCATTAAAGTCTCTTTAGGGATTAAGATCCGCTTCTGGTTAAGCTACTGAACTCTGTTTTGCCCATTTTAAATCAAGCATCTTCCTGTGAAAAAAACAGGAATATAAATATTTAGACAAACAAGTTCATCAAAATGATGGCTCAAAGCAGGACATCTCAATATCTGGCTTATTTGAGACCAGCAGTGCAATTCTCTGGCTACTTCATTCATATTTCTAATTCTTCAGTGTTGGAACTCCTCTTGGCATTTAGTCCTGGACAGGAATTGAACCAGCTTCTGGTAACCACGTCTGCTGGAAGATGAAGTTACTGCAAGAACTTATGGATCCATCTGCCTGCCAGGCCAGCCCAAGGCCAGCTTTGTGGTCTCTCTGGTGCCAGGTCAAGGCGGCTCCCTTGTGGCACATGGGTTGGCATGCTTTCTGGTGCTTTTGGTCAGCCCAGTGGTACGGACTGGGGTGGGTTGCTTGGTTGTTAAAATACGGTTGTAAAATTTGAATTTAACATCTTGCTGTTTTTATTGTTGCTTTATTTTTATATCATAATGCATTGTATTTATTAATTCTGGTTTGGTTATTGGGCTGTAGAATGATGATGATGATGATGATGATGATGATGATGATGATGATGAACAACAACATTCCTATTCAGCTCTGCCCTTTGGGCCAATGGAAAAAACGAATGGTGAGCAACGCAGCTCTCTCCCACTTCAGGTAATTCCGGAGAGATTTTGCAAGTCCTTAGCCATGCCCTTTTCCCAGCAAAGGGACCCTGAGACCCTTCAGCCTCCGGTGCCCTGTGGACCTTTATTCAGGTTGCCCAAAGACTTTGATGCATTAATGAATCCAGGAGAAGGATGAGGTGCATTCAGGTGCCTTGGTCATGTTGAGGGGCTTCAAATCCAGCTTTCTCTGGTCCAGAAGACCCTTCCGATACTCAACGGTGGCTCACACAGATTCTCTTAACAAGTAGCTAGAGACATTCCCATCCAGACCTCTATTTATTCTTGGAATAGGTCCACAGCACCATCATTTGCTTTGGTCTCCTTCAAAGCCAGGGACAAGCGATGAACCCCTCATTGCTTACCACAGCCAGTGTGTGGAAAAGAGCAGCCTGCCTGCTGTGAAGCTTCTTCAGGCTGCTCTGCCTCATCCAGCTTCTTTTCCAAATGTACTCTTCTTGGGCGGGGGGGGGGGGGGGGGGGGGGGGGGGGAGCGATGGCCAGTGTGCCAGGCTCCGCGAAGTACGTGTCACAGAAGCTGTAGCTTGAAGAGCAGAAGCTGCATCTGAGGCTTGAGAGATTTGCTTTGCCATTGCCTGGGCCCAGAAGCTCTGCCCCCCCGAAATGTTAGGCAGTCCCTTTGGCGAGGGCCGTGTCACCGCTGAGCCCTGTTTTCCCAACCAGTGTCCAGCCCCACAAAAGGAGTTTTGTCTTCCCTCCTGGGCAGCGCAGTGCCGATCTGTGGACCCCCTTCGGCCTTTCCCCCGCTTTGCCCCAGATGCTTCATCTGACAGTTCCCTACCTGGTAGGGAAAGGGCTGCAGATGATTTGCTTGGAAGAGCATCAATCCAGTGTGTCTGCTGTGCTTGGAAGCGAGGATTCTGCCTGCGTTCGGCTCTGGGGGACAAGCACAGCGTTGGCTGCTTGGAGTCTAAGGAGGGTCAGTTTTCCCCGTAGGAATTCATCCCAGTGCCCAGAGGGATGCTTGTGTCCAGTTTGGCCAGGAACAGGGCAGGAGGCCCTCTCAGCCCGAAGGCCGGAGTTCGGACACCTTTCGGCTGGAGTGCTCCATGCAGCCGTCTCCAGGGCAGCCGTGTGGGCAAGGACATGCCGACAGCGATTCGGGCACATGTGAAGAATCTCACTTGGATTTCTGGAAAACAATTAATATATGGGGGTGGGGGGATGTGCATCTAGTATAAATAGGTTGACATCAACATTGTGTTAAAAGTTTTACCACGATGTTAAAAGACAGGTTGAGAAGATGGAATTCACACTTTAAATCAAGTAGTAATTTTCCTGTAGTGATAATCGAGTAGTAACCTCAAACTATGTTGTGGCTCAATTATGAAAAAACCCCCACACTTTTCAAAGCAGGCTGGCCACTGGGCCTGAACGAGTGACCTGCGATGAGCTCTCGCACATTTACTGGGCTGAACAATCCTCTTAACTCTGGCAGCAATTGGAAGAACAAAAGCAAGCGAGCGCTTGCCTCTCCAGAGATTGTTGAGCTGCAACATCCGTCATCCCCCACCATGGCTAATGGGGAGGGATGATGAGAACTGTAGTCCTAAACCGTCTGGAGGGCTGCACTGCTCCACCCCTAAAACAAATGATAGAAGTAGATTGCTATTTTCTGGATTTTTAAACTCTCCAAGTCATTGCACCGTGATAAAACATGAAAATAATTGCTTGCTGAGAGATAGTCCACTCTTTGAAAAGCAGGTCCTCGGAAAAGCAGGATTCCAGTGGTGAATGTGCAAGTTCTGGGTGTTCCCACTGGATGGGAGCCCTCCCGGGGCGAGATATTTAAAGCAGTGGGGGGGGGGGGGGGGTCCAAGCAAGGGCAGAGCGACTGTGCAAGAAGGCCTTGACTGCAAGGGCCCATCATCCTCGCAGCCTCAGTCTGGCTGATGTCAGTGAGTCCAGCTGAGGCGTTGCTTGATCCAGGCAGGAAGTGAATCCATTCCGAGTGTGAACACGAACTGCAGGTCGGAGTGGTTCAGAATAGCGTCGTTTGGATACATTTGTTTTCTGTTTGCAAGCCGTCTCTGGCAATATCTGACGCGGAGCAGGCAAGGACTCCGCACCATGCCGGGTACACACAGCCGCTGGCTCGCGCGAGGCCTGTTCTCGCTGGCTCACCAGTGGCTCCCAGTGGCTCTCGCTGGCTCACCCAGCAGCCGAGGCACTGGTGGGGGCCTGGGGGCTTGCGGCCTCAGCTTGCTTGGAGTGGAGCTTGGGAGCCCCCGCAGCTCACTGCGCTCCCTCGGGCACGATCCACACATGCCAGAGTTGCGTGCCCTTTTTCTAGCTGCACTTGCGCCCTTAATCTGCCCTGAATTATTATAAGGAGGCACACGAGGGCTTTGTGCTGGGCACCTTCTCCCAAAGGGAAGCACCCTGGCCACCTTCCGCTGGTTTCTCGACGGCCTTTGCTGCACTTCCTCCTCGAAGGCAGGCAAGTGGAAGCAAAGGCACTCAGCCGGGAAGACCAGCCTAGCGTCTGCCCAGCCCTCCCTCAAGGGGCACTGGCTCGCCCACCTTTCCTCTCCCGCCTCGTCTGGGCTCCTCGCAGCCAACCACCAGGCGCGGAGGGAGGCCAGGCCGCGCGCTTGGCGGCAGCCCTGGCGTGCCCCAGTCCTCACGCCGCTTTGTGCCCGCAGGTTCCTGCTTCTGGGTGGCAGTGCTGAACGGCAACGTGGTGGGCATCGTGGCGGCAAGGGGCAACGAGGAGGACAACACGGTGGAGCTGCATCGCATGTCCGTGGACGCCAAGTACCGGGGGAAAGGGATTGCCAAAGCGCTGGGCCGCAAGGTGCTGGAGTTCGCCATGCTCAATAACTATTCCTCCGTCGTGCTGGGAACCACGGCGGTGAAGGTGGCGGCCCACCGGTTGTACGAGTCGCTGGGCTTCAAGCACGTGGGCGTCGTGGAACACTACACGCTGCCCGGGATGACGCACTCCGTCCTGGAGCGAATGTTTTTCCAGCTTCGCTATCACCGCTACTGCCTGCAGCTGCGCGAGGAATAGCGGGCCCGAGTCACATTGCCCCACCCCAGAGTCTCCCCCGCTGTGTGTCGTGGGGGTTTTTGCCACTGTTTATTTGCAGATCTCGTTCTGGTTTCGTGCTTCTCCATTCCATTCCGCTCATTTGCTTGGTTCAGCGGAGGGCCCTCCTCTCCGGCGCCCTTGCCAAGCGGCGGGGCTTGTGCCAGAGGCCGCTGGCCGCCCACGAGGCACCCGCCGGGTCAGCGGCTGAGGAGGCAGGATGGACACGCTCCCACGCCACACGCCCAGACCCCTCGCCCTCCCCAGACCCCCCCAGGTTGCCCACATAAGCACAGAAACCTTCACTATGTGGTAATACTGCTTGTCTGGTGTGTGTTGTAAATAGCTCCCCCACCCCCGGAGTAACTCAAAATGTAGTGATGCGTCCCGATACGGCGAATGCCACGGTTTCACGTGAATGCGGTTCCTGGCATCTCACGGACAAGCATGCCTCCACACCGCACGCCGGCTGCCGGCACCCCGAGCCAATGCGCAAGCCCGCTTGCCCCCGTGCATGAAGAGGAAGTGCGCGTGTGCCCCCGCCAGCGGCCCGAGAGCCTCTTGGGGCGCCCGCCGGCGAGGAGCCCCTCCGCGCCCCTTCCTTCCTACGCCAGCAATGTGCACCCTGAGCCCAGCGCAAAGCCCGCACGGTACTGAAATGCACCTGCGCTGATGTACATAACCTGCAGTCCTGTGCCAGACATCTCTAGATGCAGTAGACGTCCTTCGGGTTAACCTCCATGTAGCTCTTTCTTTACTCTGTTTTGCTTCCCTTCCCTTATTCAAGCTCCAGCTTTTGCCGGCTGTTTTCACAGAGGCAAAATGGAGGCTTCTGTTTCTATGGCAACACACCTGTATGCTAATATGTGCACCAAAACTAAACGCTTCAGAAAAGCAATATGCAAAAGACAGATAACTGAAGATGTGAGTTTGGCTGAAGGCGGCAAGGAAAGAAAGGATGCTATTTTAATCAGTTGCTAGTGGAATAAATATAGACAGCCTGTCGTAATAAGGAACTGCTGCTTTAATGATGTCAGATTCGTGAATTGTACAGTCCGATGCAAACAGCAATGCAACACAGATTCGGCGTGGGTCTCTTCCATGCCCACCGCTAAAATAATCGTGGTTACAGCTTCTCCAGGCTTGAAATACCAATTCTATAAGCTTTGTCAAGAAATAGCCACTTTGCATGAAGTATATCCTGAGGAAAAGCAAGAATGTTTAAATGTGACACAGCAGAAATGCCTCGGACATTTCTTGTTGCACTTTTTTCGGAGGGGGTGAAGGAGCCAGCATATCGAAGGGCAATCCCACTTAGATCCCCCCGCGAGAAGCCAGGCGAGACGCCGGGGGCACAGCCCTTGGAGGTGAGGAGGAGGCGAGCCCCGCCACAGAGGGCTTCCACGTCCCCCAGGGCCCATGCTCAGGAGCTTTGGGAGCCGCCGACTGGGGGCGCTCCAAAGGGGCAGCAAGTGGTGGCCCCATTGCTCGGCCCGGGGCCTGCGGAAGCGAGGGGCGAGGGCAAGGTGGGGCTGCCACGCGTTCTCGGGCGCCCCCACCAGGCCTGCTCCGGGGGAGGCCGGCTTGACGCTGGGCTCTCCCGAAGCAGCGCTCAGCACCCTTGGCTGGGAAGAGAGGTTCCCGCATAGCCCTATTCTTAGCTCAGCGGAGGAGGACCGGCTTCTGTCTCCATGCAACGGATCCGGTCTCGGCCAAGGAAGAGCAGGGCGCTCCAGTTGAAACGCTTTCCTTGTAGGTCTTCGACCTGCTCAGACAGTGCCGTGCCTGAGAATGGCAGCATCAGACTGTGTCCCAGCAATAAAATAATTGACCAGTAACACAGACAGAATTTGATTTACAGAATGTACTTAGCGGAGCTGAGTGTGTGTGGATGTGGAATGTATTTTTTTAAAATTTCTATGCTGTACATTTCTCCTGAAGCAAAAATGTGTATTGTGGGGTGGAGTAGGTAGAGCTGTATAGTGTACAGAAATTGGTATAATATTTTCTAGCTGTTTTCAGTGATTTCATTAAACTGCATAACACAGAATAATATTATAAAGTATTAGGAAAAAAGTGAAAGAAGAGAGCTGTGTGTGCCTTTTAATTGCTTTGTTCCTTTGTTATCGCTGCACTAAATGATTTCCAAAGGATAATATGTACTATGTAGCCTGGCTGATTGGGCGGTAACATAATGAAGGGGAAACATGGTCTAAACGGAATGTTATTTAGATTGTATTCTGTTCATGCGGCTGTTTTTTTATTCTCGTGCCCTTGCAGTTTTCCTCTCTCATTGCTAAAACACATGGGCAGTTACACCGCAGAAACACCCGATCCAACTACAACTGTTGGACAGCCCTCGTAGGTTCACACAGGGAAGCGGAGTGCTGTTGGAAAATAATGTGGATCTGAGAATCTGCTTCCGCTGCACAGCTTAGGAAAAGGGGCGACTTGATGCCCACGCAGCATGTCTGAACACCTCAAGCAGGAAGCTGCACAAGCTGCATGCACGGAGGAGCACGTGTCTCTCCTGCAAGGCAGAGGCACAAAATGCATCCGTGGATGTTGCAAGGAAGCTGCTGGACGAGGAAAGTGTGGCTGGCCAATAGGAGAGACCAAACATCCGTGGGGGCTGCGCATGCCCTTCACACAAACAGCAGGAGCCTGGAACCAGGAAGGGAAGCGTTCCGAGTGCCCCAAACGAGGCAGAATGTTAGAAAAGATCAAGCGCATCAGAAATCGGGTTGAGCCTTTGGTCGCAATATAAACTTAACGATGGGACAAAGTTGTCTTGGAGATGATGCTGTTAGGGGTGAAAGAAGGAATAGAATGCAAAAGGCACCCAAAAGGAAGCCCACGCTTTCCATGGAAGGATTATGGAGGGTAGGCAGCGGGGGGGAGACCTGCTCAGTGGTGCTTTTCAACTTTACCAGCAGCCACTGAGGCAGTGAGCATATGGTCACGACAGACAGACCTTCTCTTTATGTTTCTGAGTGGGCATCCAGTATCTTGGTGTACACCTATAAAAGGTTTGTGCATAAAGTGGCCAAGGGAGGCCGCTTTGCTATCGTCCTCTTGCCCACGATAGAAAGAGGCACAGTCAGCTGGAATCGGTGCATGCGGGGTGGTTTTTTGCCTCTCCCGCCAGTTTCACATGCCTCCCCACAGGGAACATGCCTAGGCCCACAGCTTCAACTTATGTGGTCCCTGCATGAAAAATAATGGGAATGGGCACAGTGGCTGGGGATCTTAAGAAAAGTTTATTGCTGTGACCGGCTTCCCAACACACTCCTTTCTTCCATGACGGGGACTTACGTTGACTTGCAAAACCAGCAGCAGTCTTGCAACAGATCTCCTCGAGGAGCGGGGACATCTCCTTCATGTGCTGGGATTAGACCTCAAAGGCCTTCATGGGGCTGGTCTCTGAGGCAAGCCGTGGTGAGTGCCACATCGGGCACCTGGGGGCTCCCTGTGAGCGGCTTCTTGGCACCAGAGATCCGACAGCTCCCCCGATTCTGCACAAGACAATCTGGCACTTGTGGTGACGAGGCAGGATCAAGATGCTGGCACCATCGTGCTTTTCACGCCTGTGTCCTAAATCATCTGCCATGCACACCTTTCAGAGCAGAATGGGCTTTTACCGGGCACTGCATAGCCTCACTTCTGAGAAGCAGGGAAGAGCGTCTGATGGGCGCAGGCTTTCATGATGCAGCTGCCTGCGGGCTGGTGGGCGTGTGACCCAAGACCTGCCTGCTGCCGGTCGCTTGCAAAGCGGAAGGGCTTCAACCCAGCCCGACTACCTGACTGGGGTTCAGCTGCTTCAGTGCAGCCCTCTAGCTGCTGGGGATCAAACGGGCTTTCGTTCACTCTAAACTGGACATGCATTTCTCTGCCAGAGCCCTGGCAGGCAATCAAGGCCCCTGCCCAGAAGCTGAGGAAGAGGGCTGGAGCCACGTCAGGGCCTCAGCAATGCGTAGCGCTGCTGGCAAGCGAAGCTTTTGCGCGAGCACCCCCTCCCACTGTGCCAGCTATCCCAACAACATGAAACGAAAACGGAAGTCCCTGGACAGTGCCATGTCGCACGGGGGGCTTCCATCGGCCATCACCATCCCCTGCGGTGACTTTTTTGGCCATGCCTGAAACGCTCAGTTGGTTGCTGGTTTGATAAGTGGCCCGTGTCCCTTGAATATCTTGCAATACCACCATGCTGCCCCCAGAGCTGCCACTCTGGGCACAGAGCTGACGGGACGAAGTGCCATGGCTGCCTTTCGCAGGGCCAGTGCCAATGGCTTCCTGATGCAGCCAAGGGCGGCCCCCGCCCAGAGGAGCCGCTGTGGCAGCTCCCTCTTTGCAATGCTGCAGAGCCCTCGTCTCGCAGGGACTGGCGGCCAGAAAGGCCGTCCACAGACATGCCCGTCTGGGCTACGATCCATGTGCTTCCGTGCTCTCGCCACCTCTCGGCCGCCGCAGTGGGCCTGAGTGAGGTGGGCACAGGGGTGGTGCTTGCAGGCCGCAGAGCCACTTGCCCCATGGACTGGGTGGGGCGAGCAGCTCTGCAGGGCCCCCAAGGTCAAGCAGCCATCGCCCCACAGATGCCCGAGATGCAGTGCCTGCCTCGGCTGAGTGGGAACAACGGAACAGGCAGGACGCTGTGCTCCCTGTGGTGAGCCCAGCAGGCGGAGGGAGGCGGCTGCACCCATTTCGCCCTGAGTGGTGAGGTCCACCAGAAGCAGCCGTCCAGATTTCCCCAGCCAACGCGCCAGTGAATTTGTGCCAGGAGCCATACAGAGGGCGGGAAGGGAGGCAACCCTGGTGCAGGAGACGAGTTGCCCGGGCTGGAGTAAGACGCAGGTCTGGTCAGAATGCGTGGGAGCAGCATCCCGACGCGACCACAGGCAGCACAGCGGACCACAGACTGTGAACTGAGGAACCCTGATTACTGTCAATATTTTGCTTAATACCAGTGAAAGGACCTTCCAGTT